CCTCTCCTTCTTTCCCCCTCCTCCCCCCACCCGCCCTCCTGAGGGCCGGAGAGAGAGAGAAAGAAACATCCATCAGCTGCCTCCCATTAGTGCCCTGACTAACTGGACTTGAATCTGCAACATTTTGGTGCATGGGACAAAGCTCCAAGCACCTGAGCCATCCGGCTGAGCCACCAGGCCAGGGTCTCTTTCCCCTTCTTAAACTTTGTCCTTGTTACTGCTGCCCTTCTTCTGGCCACCCTTGTTGTTAGAGTTCCTACACCATATTTTTAGTGAAACTGACTTATTTCATTATCCATCTATACTATTAGTACTTGAAGACACAATAGAGATAATTAACTCAAATTTCAAAACTTATTTTTGGAGGATTCTTATCTGGTACCTGCTTTAACTCTTTTAAAATGTCAGATTTCTTTCAAGGGTAATTTGACTATTATTTACTATTATAACCATCACTATGTGATAAACATTCAATCAAATCACTTTTTCATTTGAGGTAAATTAAAAATTGGTTGATTTAAAAACTGGTTTTTTTTTTCAGGCAGTTTGGTTATTTGGAGGGGTTCTGCTTCATTGTAGTTAATGGCAAAGCCAGAATTGCAGTGCAGGTCTCCTGTTTTCTCAGCCTGCAACTACTCTTTTGCACTGTATTATTTTGCAAGGTAAGAAGCCAGGCCTTTGACTACGAAGATTGATTTCTTCTTGGTAGTTATTAATAGTTTGTTCACTTTAAAGGCCCAGATAGCTATGTGGGATTACCCAGATTTTTTTTTTTTTAGGGAACATTAAGCATTTGCGTAGTCTCAGGAATGTCACTTTGTGTGTCCTGTTCCTCTCCACTAGAATGTCAGCTGCAGGAACCTTTCTGTCTTCATCATCCTGTGCTGGACAGCACCTAAAAGTCTGGCACATAAGAGCTTGGAATTAGTACTTGTCCTGTGAATGTATGAATTTTCTGTTCAAGATTTCCTTCCCCAAAATAAAAGGGGGAAACATCTATAAGCCATTTGTAATGCCTTTATCTAACTGACTTGTAGTCTTCTCTGCAAGGAACAGACATACATCCTTTGGAGATAAAGGAGGGTGTTGCTGGTGGTGTTTGTTACGGTGGTATTACCTGGTTTGAAAATGCTTTGAAATACTGCATATACTCTGATTAAACTTAGCTTTTTAAGTAGGTATTGTTTAAGCAGCCTTTGGCACATTTTCAAAAGCCTCAGCATAGTTGCTGGCCCAGTACCTGTGGACACTAGTGTCTCGGACAAATTTTTTGTTGTTGTTAATCCTCACCTGAGGATATTTTTCCCATTGATTTTTTAAAGAGTGGTGGAGGGGGGAGGAGAAGGAGGGAGGGAGGTGAGATAGACGCATCATGCCCTGACTAGGGCTGGGAATTGAACCTGCAACCCAGGTACATGTCCTTGATCAAACCTGTGACTCTTCAGGTGCAGGCCAACACTCTAACCACTTGGCAACATCATCCAGGGCTGGGACAATTTTTTTGGTGGAATTGGGTGGGGGAAATGATCTGAAAGAAGTTCAGTGAAAGTAAAACAAAGATAGTCCTTCCCCAGAGAGTTATTTGTGCTTCCCTAGATATTTATTTATTTATAGTTGTGCAGTTTATTTTTATTCCTATCAATGTAGCCCATAGAGGTTAATTCTATTTCAAACATCTGGCAGGATCCTGCCTGCCAATTGTGGAAGGGAATTATTTGGTCTGTTTTGTAGCCTTCCAACATCTTTCTGCAGTAATTTTCTTGGCTTATACTGTATTTCATCTTCCTTTCTAATCCAAGAGGCCCTCCTTAGAAAAGCATCTTCAGGAGCTTCAGATTACTTAATGACAACTGACTCGACATGTGGCTTCTAGAGCTCTCTGTGTAAAAACTTCAAAAGATAACAGGACTACTGAATTGCTTAAGGTTGGTTTTAGTGTGTGCCTGTAGAGCCTATACCTCCAAGGTGCATTTGTTACCTAGCAGAGTACCATTTGTGCTGAGCATATTTTTATAATGTAACGTTATTGCTAGAGACCCACTTTCCCACAAATAGAGAAGGGTTATCTCTCTATTGCAGTGATTTTCAGCCGGTGTGCCTTGGTGCACTAGTGTGCTGCAAGAATTTTTAAAATGTGCAATACATGATTATTTAGTCAGGGGCACTGACCTTTTTTCCCTTAGCTTGTCAAATTAAAAAAAAAAAAGACAACAGCCAACACAATAATAGTCATTTGGTGTGAATGAATTGAAATTATACCCCCTTTTTTTGGGGGAGGGGGTCAGATTGGCAAGAAGATCTTTAAAAAAAATTTGTTTTGTGCCTCAGAATTTTAGTAATTTGTTTGTGTGCTTTGCGATGAAAAAGGTTGAAAATCGCTGCTCTGTTAGGATCACCACTCCTGGCCTTTAGAACAGTCTTGCCTTACTAGCTCCAGTCATATCACCTTGTGGGTTAGGGCATGTATTTTCCTTTTCCCCTTGGGAATTACTAGTTTTGATCACAGAGTGATTTAGGTGAAGCCTTCATCCAGCTTCCTCATGGTAGACTTCCTGGTCTGGATAGGACAAGGGTAGGAGTGACATTCTGTTGGGTCTCCTGCTGAGAGCTGGGTGTTCTCTGGACCTTTGGCCTGTCGTTCTTCTTGCTCTTCTCTATGGTGTATCTTTGGTGATCTTAGTGCTGTCTGTGCTACTATTTGGCTGCCGCTGAACTGAATTGATTACTGACGCACACTTAGCCACTCCCCTTCTTCCCCACCACATACATACAAAGGAATGAAGTTCCATAAAAGCCAGGACCACATTTGGATGGTTCTCCATTGCATCTCAGTCATGGTTACTCTCTTGAATCTTGAGGCCTTTTGAGAATTTGTGAAAGCCTTGGATCCTTTTTCTACAGGTGCGTATGCATATGGTTTTGGGAAAAGGAGATTACTGCAGGAAAGGTAACATGGCCTCCTTAAAAACAAGCCACAGGTTTTCTAACCTCAGATTTATTGTGGTTGCTGTGAAGATTTCTGCTTGATCATTTTCTCAGCATGGTAACTCTATATTCCTTATCCTATAAAAATAAGTTTGGACAAAGAGGAGCACGTAGGGAAAAAGATGGGAACAAGAGAGGGTGAATGAAGAGTGTGGTTATAAGTACCTCTGTTTCTCTGATTTAAATGCTTCAAAGGAAATTATTTGCCCTTACTAACCTTTTCTATAATCTCTGTCACTTCTAACTCTTGCTAGCTTTCTCTTCTTTTGTTTGCAGTTAAGGATACTCTTAAAAGATTGTCTTTCAGTCTTTTTTCTTTCTTTTAAAAAAAATGTATTTTTATTGATTTCAGAGAGGAAGGGAGAGGGAGAGATGGAAACAACAGTGATGAGAGAATCATTGATTGGCTGTCTCCTGCACGCCCCTACTGGGAATCGAACCCGGAACCCTTCAGTCCGTAGGCCAATGCTCTATCCACTAGGCCAAACCGGCTAAGGCCAGGCTTTTTTCTTATAGCACCTTTAATACTGACTTTCTAATCCAAATTGTCCTGATGTTTGAAGGTAAAGGAAACTATCTTTGGATATTTGAGGCAACCAGAGTGGATCATCCCACTTAGGGATACTCGGCCCATTATTGGTATAAAGCTGTTTGTTATATCTATTTGAGTTTAGCTACTTCACTTGGGTGGGCTGCATTTCCAATAACCTTTACTCAGTCCTCTGGGTAAGCTGGCACTACTGCTCAGTCCTCCCTTCCATCCCCAACCCCATTCTCAGTGTTGTTTTTAAAGTCACCTTTTAGGGAGAGGGCAGGGAGCTTATTTCCTTTATTTGGAAGATTTATAAATAGGATCAGGAGATAGAAGCTTACAGAGCGCAAGCAATTATATTGTTATGTGCACAGTAATAATAGAACATCCAAGATTACTTTTTCTTGAAATCTAATTTCTGTACCTTGTCTTTGTTATTGAATCTTTTCTTCATTATACTGAATATAATTAGCTTATAGGTTTTTTTTTTCTAAGAAGTATTTTTTCCTCTTATAATTTCTTTTCATGGTAGATTGTTTTTTGACCATATTCACATTTGTACATATGAATTCTATTTCATAAAGTGGATGTTACAAATTCATAGTCCTTTTTGTTTAAGTCACATATACAATATCTAATCTCTTTTTCCATTTTCCTGATTTTTTCCCCTACTCCCAATATGGAGATGGAAAAAGGGGATAAGTTTGCACAACACTCTAGGACCACTGTAGTCAGACCCAATTCTCCAAAATTTTTTTGACTCTGGTAACTAACCTAAACTGGATTATAGGTAGCATTTTTGAATAATAGGTGATGTTTTAAGTCTGTTGAGTGCTTCTTTAGTTTATTCAGTGTATTGAGCTCTTGTGAATTATTTAACTACAGTATGAAGTAGGTACTGTTTTCTCTCCCATTTTACAACGGAGCAGATCCAAGTTCAGATAATTTGTGGTAGGTTACACAACTACTGTGTGATAAAGATGGTATCTTTCTTAGCTTGGGCTGCCTTAACAAATACCATAGATTGGGTGGTTTAAACAATAGGAATTTATTTCTCATAGTTCTGGAGACTGGAAGTCTAAGATTAAGGTGCCAGCAAATTTGGTGTCTGGTGAGGGTTGTCTCCTTGGGTTGTTCACAGCCACCTCCTCACTGTATCTTCACTTCAGTCCTCAGTACTGCCTGTGGGGAAAACATACACGTGCACACACACACATGGAGAGAGAGACAGAGAGGGAGGGGGAGAGAGAGAGATTGCATGCTTTTCTGGTTTCTCTCCTTATAAGGGCACTAATCCCATTGTGAGGGCCCCACCCTCATGACCTCAGCTAAACCTAAGAGAGAGACAGAGAGAGGGAGGGAGAGATTGCATGCTTTTCTGGTTTCTCTCCTTATAAGGGCACTAATCCCATTGTGAGGGCTCCACCCTCATGACCTCAGCTAAACCTAATTATTTCCAAAGGCCTCATTTCTAAATACCATTATATTGGGGGTTAGGCTTTTAACATATGAATTTGGGTTGGGTCACAATTTGATCTATAGAAGATGGTATTCAGACCAGGTTGGAAACTTGAGATTCTAAGTAAGTAGTCTGGCACACCATCCTATTCCCTGCTTCCATAGTTTAGGAGTGCTGGTACCCAGAAGGCAAGTTGGCCAGCAATAGTGAATTCTGTCAGTAAGGGTGTATATACTCCTTTAGTATCATATGTATTGCACAATTCTTTTGCCAAAAACACACAAAATCACACATCCAAAGAAAACATGGAAAATAAGAGTAAATATAAGTAAGAAAACGAAAGTCATCTATGACCTCACTCCCTGGAGAACTATTGCCATTACCATTTTAGTATATTTCTTTCCAGTCTTCCTCTTTAGGAGAAAGGACTTACATAATGGCTTTATATGATTCATAGTTTTATGTTCTGCCTTTTTTCTTTTAGCATCTCATCATTCCATGCCAGTTATATTTTTTAGAACCATTCTAAATGATTTTTGCCTCAAAGAAAACAAATTTGAGAGCTTCCAAGAAGGTAGATGACAGTATGAGCTTAGTGTGGGAGAAGTAGTCAAGATTGATGACTCAGAGCCCCTCAATGAGAGAGAAAACATAGAAGTAGCAGGTGTGGAAGGTGGAATTGATAAATTCAGTGTATACTTTTACAGAATGTAGTACCTATGAGACGTCCCCCTGAAAGTGCTCATTAAGTAAAGAGCCATCTGGACTGGATGTCAGTTTTTTAAAATTGTCATCATCAGCCCTGGCTGGTGTGGCTGAGTTGGTTGGGTATCATCCCATTCATCGAAAGGTTGCTGGGTTCGATTCCAGTCAGGACACATGCCTGGGTTGTCGGCTTGGTCCCTGTCTATTAAAACCCTGGAGGTGGATGTAAATCGTCTCTGTCGGAAATATATGGCAGTTTTGTTTTGTTTTTAATTTATTAAAACTTATATAATTAAAATTAGGGTAACAACTTTCTAAAACTTGAAATTGGTGGTTTTCATGAATGTCAAATGTCCATTAAATGATCTGTAGATGATACATTTTGAGAGGCAGTGTTCCAGTGCTTGTTGAAATAAAATTTTAAGTGTTGGGAGGAAAAAAATCTAATGACCTACCAATCTCTTCCTCCTCCTTCAGGGTTAGCCTCGAACTTTTGTACTTTTTTCTCAACCAGCCAACTGCCTGCGGCCCTTCCCCCTGGCCAGCCCCGCCCCTGATCACCCCCCCTATCCCAATATAAGGCAGGTCCGGCCAGCCAACCACCCATGGCCCCTTCCCCAGGCCACTGGCCCCCGATTGGCCCCCGTCACCTCATTCGGGGGCAGGCCGGCCAACCTCCCACAGCCCCTCCCCTAGCCCCATTCAGGGGCAGGGCCGGCCAGCCCACAGACCCTCCTCACGGCCAGACTGGCCCTAATCGGGTCCCGATTGGGGCAGACCCACCGGCCAACCTCCCGCTGTCTCCTCCTCCTGACAGGCCCAGCAGGACTCCACCTGTGCATGAATTCGTGCACTGGGCCTCTAGTATTTTAATAAGCACCTAACTGTGCCAGCATTAATTTAATACCTGATACAGAGCTGTAAATGTGACACTGGTGTTACCTGTCCTCTTGAAAGAGTCTATTGCATGAAAAAAATATATTTTTCTAAATCTCTAAATTCTCATTTGGTCTTCTAATATATCAAGCTCTTAATTGTTGCCAGAGATAGCAGTGGCCAGTAGGTTATTCTTTAAATGAGACTTCTTTTTTTTTTTTTTTTTAAATATATTTTATTGACTTTTTACAGAGAAGAAGGGAGAGGGATAGAGAGTTAGAAACATCGATGAGAGAGAAACATCGATCAGCTGCCTCCTGCACGCCCCCCAGTGGGGATGTGCCCGCAACCAAGGTACATGCCCTTGACCGGAATCGAATCTGGGACCCTTGAGTCCGCAGGCCAACGCTCTATCCACTGAGCCAAACCGGTTCGGCAAATGAGACTTCTTTGTGGTGAGAGTTAAGGGGTCTAAAACTCTTGGTACCGTGAAGGTGAATTCACTTTGTTTGTATAAACAGATCTCAAATGGCATCGTACAATTAACTTAGTCGCTGTTATCTAATATCCACTTATGTGCATGTGTTTTTATGACCAAGGGCCTATATATTTCAACTTCTGATAACCGCAAAGAAATAGGATCTCCTGGATGTGTTTCATGAATTGGGTAAGAAGATAACAATATGAATTTGTTACAGTTTGTACGTGTTACTTTATTATTTTCTGTGATGAATCTAGTTCATTTCATAGAAGACTTCTTGAGACACATTAATTATTGATTTCCAATAATTTTCAAAACTCTTAAAAGGTTTAAAAGCTGGAGTGACAACCCTCTTCCTCCCATTCCCTTATTCTCAGCTTGGTATTAAGAAGAGATTATTTGTCAGAATTCATCAACATTTTAAAGAAGAAATTAAATCACCTAGGACAAATGAACTATTTAAATATTTTCTGTAAGATTATTAAGAAAGGCAGTATTTTTGTTACTCCAATTTAAATGGAATAGGTAGAGTAGAAATTATATTGGACACTTTATTGTGAAAAATTGAACTGTTACCACACTTGTTAGGCAGTCACGGGGGTGGCCTTCATAACAGATGTACTAATTGAAAGAAAAAAGGATGAATATGTGGTACAGACTGGGTGAAGACAATATGAAAGTTTTAAGAAATGTGTGTACTCCATTGTTCTCCACCCAAAGAAGACTCGTATTTAATTCTTTTTCCAAATGCACATTCTGTTTGCGTAAATCTACATCTGCTACTAGCTTTGAACATTGCCTGAAACGTATGTGCAGCTTGGCAGAAAATCTGATATGAAGAGAAAAGTACAGGATCATTTGTCTTGTTAAATAATGGAGCAGAGCCTTCACAGTTCCTAGCCTCCCCGTG